CCTGCCCTGTGAATTCAAACTATTCCAGGATCACTGGTGTTGCCCCTCACAATACACTTAGGTGAGATCAAGATGTGGAAATTGAGAAAGGTCACTCCTAATGTTGGCAGGTACTTTCAATGTTAGCGGGACAGAAACGGAAGAGACAGATGGCAGCATGGAACAAACACAGGGATTTTGCCTACATTCATCAACTTTCCAGCACAACAAACAGACTTTCAGTGGTTTATGACAATAAACATTTATTTTTGCTTATGTTCCATGAGGGCTGCAGGATGGCTGCAGCTCTGCTCCAGCTGTGGGCTAATTATGGGTCTGCTCTTCTTGTCTTCTTACTCTAGGACCCAGGCTAAAGCAGCAGCTCCTACTGAGACAATCTGTTCTCAGGGCAGAATGAAGAAGTGCGAAAGCTGGACTGAAAGGTGCAATTACATTTAAAATTTTGTTTGAATATAGCAAGTGCCACATCAGTCTATGTTGATGGATTGAGGCAAGTCACATAACTAAGCCCAACATCAGTGGGTCTGAGACATTTGCTCCTTCCAACGAAGTAGAGAGTGAGGAAAACTAAAGTGAGAAAAGAGCATAAAATAGAGGTGGAAAGTGTAGAAACCAAACCTCTTAGTGACAACATATGATAGGTGCCCAGGGCCAGCTCTGAGGATGGTGAATCCCTTCTTTTTGATGGTCAGAGGTTTCCTTTACATTTGCAATGTTGCAGCCATCAGAGTTCCAGAGACAAGGTATGCAACCTGTAAAGCTCTGCATAGGAGAAGGGGCCTCCTTCTTTCTCACTTTGTAGGCTACTGTTAGTGTGACCTCTTGATTCTCGGTGCTCTCTACAGAACTAACTTTATGAAACAGAGTGAATCAGAAGCAATACAGAGGGGCCCTTGCTAGGGAAATTGCCTTCCTCAGAACCTTTGTCCATCTATATGGCATATAGGTCACATATTTCTACTCATACTCACAACATATACTCACACATATACATAGCTATTTCTACTCATACACACATACACTCAAGTGTATTACATACTTAACACACGCTGCCAGTTGGGATGAGCTATAATGTGGTTTGACTAAGTTGTAAGAAAATAATATAATTAAGTTGAGAGATCTTTGTAGAAAAATATAATGGTCAGGTTTATATAAAACAAGAAAGATCTATCATGAAATTTACAACCATGCTGATACATTTAATGAAGCAGGAAGTTTTTTAAAATACCAAAAAATTCTAAGCAAGCACAAAAGCACCAAAAAATGATTGTGCTTGTTCAGCAATCTTCCAGCAGAATGGTCTTGATAAACATGAGTTTTTATTAGGCTCCAGCCTTTCAGTAGTTAATGGTGAAGTGTGACTGTCACTGCCTTCTGTTCACATATGATCACAAAGCTTTCATGCTCAAAAGAATGCCCCAGTGTTCACATTTAAAGGAGATTCTTAAATCAGGAGGTCCCTGAACTTATATAGGAAAAAATTCTCTCTTTACATTTACTAACCTCTGTCTGAAATTTTATCACTTCCTTCCATTTTAAATATAGGCAAAACCACAGTGGTATTAGCACTACCTCTCATGTTTGTCACTAATAGAAATTAATGGTTTTATATCTCAATATAGTTGTTGTGGATATTATAAAATTTCATTAGGCCGGGCGCGGTGGCTCAAGCCTGTAATCCCAGCACTTTGGGAGGCCGAGACAGGCGGATCAAGAGGTCAGGAGATCAAGACTATCCTGGCTAACACGGTGAAACCCCGTCTCTACTAAAAAATACAAAAAACTAGCCGGGCGATGTGGCGGGCACCTGTAGTCCCAGCTACTCGGGAGGCTGAGGCAGGAGAATGGCGTGAACCCGGGAGGCGGAGCTTGCAGTGAGCTGAGATCCGGCCACTGTACTCCAGCCTGGGCGGCAGAGCGAGACTCCCTCTCAAAAATAAATAAATAAATAAATATAAAAAAAAAATAAAATAAAATTTCATTTATGCTCATCACTACTTTGAAATTACAGTAGTTTTATTGCACCTGCCAGCAGATCTTGTTATTTGATGCTTTCAAAAAGAAGCACACATATGATTATATTACAAATTTGACTATTTTTTTTATATAATAATATTCTAATAATTGTTTTTCTTTATAATTCCATGTTTTAAAAAACTTTATTCCCTCAGAAGTTTTCATCATGAGTAGGGGTCTGTGGTCTTTACCAGAGTGTCAAAAACATCCATGGCACAAAAAATCAATAACACTTGCCTTACATGTGGTTAACTCTCACTCAACTAGAGAGAGTGACTAAGGGTTATTATCACCACAGACACTCTACTGAGATCTCAAGAGAATGTCATTGAGTACAGGCTTTCATTTGTCCAAGGGCCTAACCCAGTTTTCTGGGTGCAACAGATTTGCTTCTTACATTCTATTCTCCTAACAAAGAGGATGAAAAAGCTGGGCTTCAAATTCTGGGGTCGGGCGCCTCCCCTCTCCACCCATCAGCTCACACTTCCCTTTGTGGTGTCCACTGAAGGTGCAATTCTTGTTCTCATTCTCCCCTGGTTCTTTGGTGATGTAAACATTGTATCATGACACGCATGTCCTGGTGTTTCTGTGATTCACTGGAAACTGGAGTCTCCTATCTGCTCTTCAGTGTTAGTCCTATTCACAGATTTATTAGCTGTCCAGGTTTCCCCAATATTTCAGAGAAATAGTAGACAGGTTAACAGCTTTCAAGTAAGAAGATAGGTTAAGAGCTTTCAAGTAACGATGCCAAGGTAGATTACCAGATCTTTGTGGGCCTCATCTATTGTGCCCTGTAAGGGTAATAATATCCACCTCATAGGTTTATAGGCATTAAGTGAGATGCAGAACATCATAGGTTCTCAGTAACTGTTAGTTCCTTCCCTTCTTTTCATTGGGGGCCTATCTGGCTAAGGCAGCCTTCTCCACCTAACAGGAAACAATAATATATGCAAGAAGCAGAATCACTTCTTGCTTCTATCTAAGTGACTAGTTCAGAGCTCCACCTTGTGAAGCAGCCTGATCTCTTACTTCCAAGATGGAGAGTGCTATGCCTGGTTGATTGGGAATGGGGTGGCTTATTTCTAGAAAGGTAAGAGAAAAAAATGCTTTTTAAAGTAATGACTCACTTTTAGGTTGCAAATTATATTTATTGTTATACAAAAGGCACAGTATTTCTAGCTTCGTAATAACTCAAAACTATATATGCTCGGATAAGTTTTAGTTTATAATTTATCTGTAATTTATTTAATAATGCCTAAGAGTTAACAAAAAAGAAGCTATAATTACTTCCAAAGAAAAATTAAGCACTAAAGAATACATATAGAAAAATATTTTTACAACAATTTTTTTAAATAAGGAGGAAAGTTTGGGATTAATAGCACCTCTCTCTCTCTCCATAAATCTATATATACATAAATGGGATAAACTCATTTCAGCTAACTTAATTGACAAAATAAGATTTTTACTCCTTTAATGATTATTTATTTATTTATTTATTTATTTATTTTTGAGACAGAGTTTCACTCTTATTGCCCGGGCTGGAGTGCAATGTTGCAATCTTGGCTCACTGCAACCTCCATCTCCCAGGTTCAAGGGATTTTCCTGCCTCAGCCTCCCGAATAGCTGGGATTACAGGCATGTGCCATCACGCCCAGCTAATTTTGTATTTTTAGTAGAGACAGGGTTTCTCCATGTTGATCAGGCTGGTCTCGAACTCCTGACCTCAGGTGATCTGCCCTCCTCGGCCTCCCAAAATTCTGGGATTACAGGCATGAGCCACTGCACCCAGTCACTCCTTTAATGATTATTATTGAGATGTGAATGGTTGTTTTAAGTACTTGTTTAATGGCTGCTTATCTGACTATTGACATAAGAATTGCTCTTGAAACATATTTGCTCCTTCATTGTCTAAGTTTACCTGTTGAGATTGATACACCTGTATCTGTATCTATAGCTACACCTATCTGTGCATCTGTAGTTGACAGCCTTTGAGGCTTTGAATTAATCCATAAAGAAGTTTTTCAAATAAGCAATTATTAATTTGAAAAAATCTCAGTAATAAACATAAAGGAATGGTGATTAGAGGCTTTAGGAAAATATTCAGGAGAAGACAGGCAGGCTGTACATAAAGGTGCTCGGGCCCTTACTAGTAATCGCTGCTGAGAAACCTTTGGTTCAATTCTGAGCAAGCATGTGGCACAGGAGCTTGTTTTTACAAAAAGCAAAACCAAAAACATGTGCTGGTATTCCTGGAAAGATAGCAGGTCTAACTTGTGTGAGAAAAATTTAAAGGAAGAAGTAATAAGATGAAAAGATGTGGATAATTACCACTTAAAATATTCCAAGTATGTTCAGGTTTAAATTATTCAAAAAGGTAAGAAAAACATTCCTTCAAGAATATGATACTTTTACTCAGTGATTATCACAATGGACAAACCTGGCTGACAAGTCAGCCTAGTGCTTGGGATTTTAGGAGATGGGGATTCTAAAATGAACACTTTGAGAAAGAGACATTCTAGACACTTGATTATGATTACGAAATATGAAACCAGGTTTCCTGAAGTTAGATTACGCCATATTTTCACTTAAGAACCTAGTAGAAAGGAAATAGTACAAACACTTAATTTTAGTTGAGGAAACTCTGTGGTGGGAGGAGGGAGGATTCAAAGGTTGTTGATATTTCTCCTGACTGCTCCGTGTGGCAGAACCAGTGTGAGAACTCAGGAAGCCAGACCTCAGTGCTCTGTTCCTTCCATCGTTGCATCTTAGTTGTTTCAAGGAAGCAATGAATGAGGAATCAAATACGTGCACAGTGTTCAGGCTTATCCAGTGGATATTAAGACGATTTCTTGCTCTCCTTTTCCTCCAACGTACTATAATACCATTGAATGAGGGGAGTGCTTACCCTTTTCCAAATTAAGGAGCTTGTCTTTCTCTTCTACTTAACCCATGCTGTCCTGGAAGCATGCCCACAAACCCAACACCACACAGCCCACGGTCACAGTGCCGCTCATCCTTCCTGTGAGGTTATACTCCTTGCCTGCATTTAGTAGAAGGAATCATTCTTGGTACAAATCAACAGTGCGTGTCTGCGGTGAGAAGAGCTTCTGACTCAGTGTGAGTTTCAGTGCCTTCCGAAACCACCGGTAGGAAAAGACATAGATGATGGGGTTGCAGGCTGAGTTGAAGTAAGCAAACCAGATAAAGATGTCAAAGACCAGTGGGGGTGTGATAAAGTGAAGGAGGCTGTCGACCATCGTGTCTATGGTGAAGGGCAGCCAGCACAAGAGGTATATGCCCACAGCAAGGCCCAGGGTCTTGGCAGCTTTTCTCTCATGCTTGGCAGCCCCAGCCAGGCTATTGCTCAATGTAGTAATCTGCTGAGCCTGCCTGGTAGCTACCACAAAGATCTTCACATACAAGCTGATCATAATGAGGCAGGGGACAAAGAACAAAGGGAAGTTTAACCAGCCCCAAAATTTATTGAGCAGCAGCTGGCAACTGCCCACACAAGGCATCTCTTCCAGCCACTGGCTGAGCCTTGTCTCTACCACATCTGTGTAGAGGAAGAAGGAAGTGTATGTTGCGGGCACCCCCCATCCTGCTAGGATGTACCTGAGGGCCACCCTCACTGTGAACTTGGAGGGATAGAGCAAGGGGTCACAGATGGCACAGTGGCGGTCAATGGAAATAAAACATAGATGGAAGATGGAGGTGAGGCAGAAAAGGGTGTCCAGGTAAGTGTGCAGGCGGCAGAGGAAGTCCCCGAAGAACCAGCAGCTCTCCACTGAGCGAATGGTGCTGAGGGGCAGCACGAGCAGACCCAGAAACATGTCAGCCAGGGCCAGGGAGAGCAGCAAGAAGTTGGTGGGTGTGTGAAGCGCTTTGAAGTAGGACACAGCAAATGCTACAAATAAATTCCCTAGCACGATAATCAGCATGCCTGCTGCACAGGCCAGGTAGATGACCAACTGGATGCCCAGAGTATGTACTGTCCTGGGGCAAGACCCATTCACCTGGTAGCAGAATGCCGCAGGGTGCTCTTCAGCACTTTGGATAAAGACAGCTCTCATTTATGGTTTCTACTCTTCCTCTGTCTGAGAACTGGCCACCTTCTCCACTGGGGGGCAAAAAAAAAAAAAAAAATCTGTCTGCTACATACTCACAAAGTGAAATGAAGAGGAGGAAACTAAAGTACAATTTGGAACCTAGTGCATGTCCCTGGGTACTGAATCAACTGTGCCCTGAAAATCAAATGCAGCATGGTATTCAAGGTTTCATGAGAGTTATTTCTGCTAGCCCTAGTTTATATGACTAGGTAGTTTAAAACGAGTGTAGATAGTATTCTTAAAGAAAGAAAAGAAGGATGTAAACTGAATGTTTCCTCCAAGAAACCTTGATTATATCAGTAGGTAGTATTAAATAATAGAGAGTGTCTCTTGCATTTTGATAAGGTACTTTTTGTCAAATGTAAAGTGAAATTTAAAGCAATGATCTGAATCAAGTGACCAATTAATTCTTGTTAAATTATTCCTTGGAAAAAGTGTAAGTTCTAGTTTCCCTCTGTAAGAATTACATACATTGACAATAAAATCAGCAGATTAAGCTTTTTAGCTACATGTCAACTGTTCCCAAGAGAAGAATTCAGCATGCAAATACTAATAATTAAAAGGGTAGAAAATTGCTCTAGTTTAGTTTTAAATGCTGCACATTTTATGATGATAGCACAAAGCGTTTACACATCTTGGTAGAACTATTTGATAGGCAAAATGATTTTATCTGTTTAACATCATAAGTCTGTGAACTATTAACCAAGTCCTAATATATTGAATTCAGGGTTTCTAAGCTACTTACACAGGTAGGAATCAGAATCCCTTCCTGGGAAGAAATGTTTCTTGGAGCAGGTGGACATAGGGAATGTTAGAGTACTCTTCTGTTGGCCGCAATGACAGATGTGCAATCAGTTAATGATTTTATACTCTCAATAGAAACTACTCCTGCATGTGCTATGATACAAATAAGCTGTGAAGAGGCACCATGGGACCTAGTTTGCACTATTCGCAAGTCTCAGTTGTTTAAGGTTCCTTAGTACAGAATCACTTACCCTGACAATTAATTACAGATAAAATTTAAAGACACTAGATGTATATATTCTTTTTTAGTTCTTCAGTTCTGGGATGTTTTTAAGGTATTCTTGCCTGCTGATGGCTGCCATATATTCTCTAATTTCATTTTTAGTGACTTGTTTATTTCTCTTCTGCCTTAGGGTTATTTGTGTATATTTCTCTCAACATGAGAAATTGCTGAGAATAATTGATCATGAGTTTTTTGGTTCATCAAGGGGTGGTTTGTGACTTCCACACAGGATTCACAGGATTCATTATTATGTGTTTTTTGAGTACTGTATTTTGTGGTGGTGAAAGAAAGCATGGTAGATGAAACAGTTTACCTGGAAAAAGAATAGTTAAATTACTGTTTCATCCTTTCCTGTGCCATCACCTAACCTCTCCCTCTGCTTCCCTCATTGGTAAGATTATGTACAATTATACCTGTGTAACTTGATTTCACAGGAATGTTATCAAGGAAGATAACTTGTTGAGTCATATTCTGCTCTCTGCCTCTTGATATCTTAGAAGCTGGTATGCCTCTTTATGGTTACAGAGAAACCACTTCACAGTATCAGTCAAACTAAAGTTGTAAAAATGACAGAATTCTAGAGATGACACTAAATGACATCTGCCAGAGGGGCCTGGAAGAGGAGGTGGGTCAGGTTGTAAAGAAGGAAGGAGGTTGGTATGCACCTCTCTTTTCTCTACAAATCCATGGCTAAACCCAGTGTTTTCCAAGGCAAAGCTCCTTTGGCCTGGTGACCACTGGAATCTTGCCTTATCCCAGCTTCATAGGTGTGGAAATAAATTTCTGGCTCTAGAACTTAATCAGACCAAGAAAGAATATTGCATTACTATGTACCTTGAAACCCCTTTAGCTTAAAAGTCATAATGCACATATAATTGGCTAAGGAGTCCTATGACCTTATATTTAATTTGACCAAGAATCTGTGAAAAATACAAACAAATGTCTTGTAGCTGGAATAGGACTGAAGAAGAAACAGAGAAAGGTTTTTGGTTCTGGGATAGATTACATCAAACCTACTAAAATGTAATATGTAACACAATTGTATTTGAAAATGCAGAATTTTATAGACTGTTTCTAGTATGATCTCTATGTCTCAGATTACTTAACGCCACTGTGTCCAGTTTTCTCATCTATTAATTGAATATAATACATTATCTATGTCACAATTTTGTTATGAATATTAATGAGTTAAAATTCATGAAGTGCAGCCTCTGGCATGTAGAAAGTTGAGTTGGGCAGACAGGAGTTTCAGTGGATATCTAGTGCATAAAACTCTTAACCTTCCCAAGTTAGGGCTCTTATCCCTTCTTCCACTGACTTTTAGAAATACATTCCATTACATAACAATCACAGGCAAAAGTAATTGGATTCGGGATCTTCTAAAGTTTCTCGCTTACCTTGGGGATTCACTAATGTTGCAGCAAGCTGCTAAAGGTCTTGAATAGAGGAACGTTTTGATTTCTTTTAAATCTCCCCACTGCATCCTGTGTAGCCTCCTCTGCACTATACTCACATGTTGAAATAACTAGTGCCCAGTTCCCAAAGACCATACTATGTGTCCCACTCACATGCTTTGTAAATACTCTGTACTTTCTTCTTTTACAGCACCCTTGAGACACTGGGTTACAGATTAGGTTTACTTCTGGTCCCCCATCCAGTATAACCTTCATGAGAGGATGTACTATGTCTTATTCACCAATACAGCCTGATACCTATCACAGTTCCTGGGTGTGTTATTATTAGTTATTATTATATTAAGGTTCTTGTTAGTCACAAGAAAAACAAATTGAATGTAATTGATTAGTCCCTGAACAAACTAACATTGTAGGAATGGTATGAATAGATCACTCACATTGTACAACTTTTATCAGCAGCTTTTCTCCTAATACTCAGGTACTAAATCTGTTATGAGACATGGGGAGCAACCCAATATAGAAGTTGTACTGTTATTACATGCTCATATATATAGAAAACCTGAAAGACTCCACCAAAAAACTGTTAGAACTAATAAATAAATTCAGTAAAGTTGCAGGATACAAAATCAACACATAAAAATCAGTGTTTCTATATACTAATAGCAAACCATCTGAAAAAGAAAATCAAGAAAGCAATCCTACTTACAATAGCTACAAAAAGTGAAATACCTAAGAATACATTTAACCAAAGAGGTGAAAGATTATCTGCAATGAAAACTATAAAACATTGCTGAAGGAAATTTCAGAGGACACAGATAAGTGGAAAGATATTCTATGTTCACGAATTAGAATAATTAATATCATTAAAACGTTCATACTACCCAAAGTAATTTACAAATTCAATACAACCTTATTAAAATACAGTAACATTTCTGACATAAATAGAAAAATAATCCTAAAATTAATATGGAACCACAAAAGACCGTGAATAACCAAAGCAATCTTGAGCAAACAGAACAAAGCTGGAGACATCATATTACCTGACTTCAAAGTATATTACAAAGCTATTATAACCCAAATAGTATGCTATTGGCATAAAAATAGATGCATGTACCAGTGCAAAATAATACAGAACACAGAAGTAAATCTATGTACTTACAGCAAACTGATTTTATCTATGTACTTACAGCTAACTGATTTTTGACAGTTAAGAACACACATTGGGAAAAGGAAGATCCTTTCAATAAATGGTACTGGGAAAATGAAACATCCACATGCAGAAAAGTGGAATTAGACCCCTATATGTCACGATATGCAAAAATCAACTAAAAATGAATTAATATATGTAAGACCTGAAGCTACAACATAGGGGAAACACTTGATGACATTGGCCTGACCAAAATTTTTTTAGGTAAGAACTCAAAAGCACAGACAACAAAAGCAAACGTAGACAAATGGGATTGGATCAAACTAAAAAGCTCCTGTGCAACAAAGAGAGCAAGCAACGGAGTGAAGAGACGACCTGCAGAATAGGAGAAAATACTTGCAAACTCTACATCTGAAAAGAGGTAAGGAACTTAAGTGGCTCAATAGCAGAAAAAGCAAATAATCCGATTAAGAAATGGGCAAAAGACTGAAGCAGGCATTTCTAAAGAAAAACATCGAAGACATACAAATGGCCAATAGATATATTAAAAAATGCTCGGCATCACTAATTCAGAGGTCCTCAACTCCTGGGCCACAGACTTGTACCAGTTCCTAATCCCTGGGCCATGGACCAGGGTTCCAAAATTGTTTTGGAACAAGAAATGGAGGTGGAAGTAACATGTATCTTATAATGGCACCAATAATGGTACTCGTTCGTGGCCTGTTAGGAACTGGGCCGCCCAGCAGGAGGTGAGCAGTGGCAAGCGAGCATTACCACCTAAGCTCTGCCTCCTCTCAGATCAGCAGCAGCATTAGATTCTCAAAGGAGCACAAATCCTATTGTCAACTGTGCATGCAAGTGATCAAGGTTACGCGCTCCTTATGAGAATCTAACTAATGCCTGATGATTTGAGGTGGAGCAGTTTCATCTTGAAACCATCGTCTCCACAACCCCATTTGTGGAAAAATTGTCTGCCACAAAACTGGTCCCTGGTGACAAAAAGGCTGAGGACTGCTGACTAATTATCAGGGACATGCATATCAAAATCACAGTGAGATATCACTTTGTCCCAATTAGCATAGCTATTATAAAAAATGCAAAAAATAAAAAATGCTGGTATGGATGTGGAGAAATGGGAATATTTATATACTGTTGATGTGAATATGAATTAATATAGCCATTGTGGATAACAGTATGAAGGTACCTCATAAAATTAAAAATAGAACTGCTATCTGATCTAGCAATGACACTACTGGATATTTATCCAAAGGAAATTAAATCAGTATGTTGAAGAGATACCTGTACTCCCATATTTATTGCAGCACTATTCACAATAGCCAAACTGTGGAATCAAACTAAGTGTTCATATATGGATGAATGGATTTAAAAAAAGGTATAGACACACAATTGAACACTAAAC